AATGCACTAAAAATCACCTGCCATATAATGAATAACCTTTTAAACTGAAACTAAAAACTATTCAAAATTATGAAATTGAAGAACAGCACGAGATCAGGTGCTGACAGTCCGACTACATTTTAGAAAAGATGGAATTTGGAACCAATAATTATAACAGACATATAACATCGAAAAAAGCCATAAAAAGATATTTTACAAACATTGAAAGTGCAAAATGTAGAAGATTTAGGAAAGGGAGAATTTATAATCAACAGCTGACAAAAAAATTTTCAACTTGATTCTCTAATAATTCAATAATAAAGAAATTTTTAACCATTGATTCTTTAGAACAAATTGTGCCCCATATGTGGTAAAAATAAGCAAACAAAAAAAAAAGTGCTGCAGTGTGTCTTTAGTTGCTTTCTTTCCAGTGCGTTAATTCATGTTATCTGGTCATCTAAAAAGTACGGATTAATTAAAAAAGTATGCACTGCATACAGAGAGAAACAGTGTCATTTACTACTAAGATCAACCAGTTGCATTTTAGGGTCGGAAACGGAAAAATTGCTTGCAATCGATGTGAGCCCGATGTATATAATTGTAGGAGTACTTGCAATCTCAGTAGCACTAATTTCATTGGCTATTTTTTGTAAGCAAAGATCTCTAACAATGCAGTACGTACAATACGCAGAAGTTCCAAGGTACGATGAAGTCTATTTTGGACGATACTGAAAAGATATCAGATTTGTTAATAGATATTTCTTGACTAAAAATTTCTTTCAACACTACTGTTGTTCCATAGTTTACTGGTACGCTTATTCATTATGACTTTTTGTTTTTTCTACATGGCACTCTCCTCATACTAAGCGAGTAATCAAATTTGGAAATAAGTTTTTAAAATCTCAGAAATATAGATTTGACCCACCAATAGTTCTTCCACTATTTCATCTTTAATGGAACCAGTTGAGCAGTCAAATAAACAAAGACGGAAATTACACTGACATGATTCATCATCCTCTGGAACCCGCTTGCCTTAAGACAACACTGTAAACTAGACTGATTACAGACAAAGCATGTAACAGCGAGAGAAGCCGTTTTTAT